AGAACTATTCTCGCTACAGCAGTCCAAAGAGAGGTGGTTGCTCAAAGGGGATAGTAATTCTGCTTACTATCAAAAGATTGCTAATGGCAATAAAAGGAAAAATACTATTCACTCCCTGAATGTAGGGGATGTAGTGATAGAGGGGAGGAGCGATCTTTTCAATCATGCCCCTGACTTTTATAAAAAACCTTTTTGGACCGGCCCCTGGAAACTTGCTACAGGTGGATCCTAATATTTGGGGGGAAGAGGAGAAATTGAGTGTCGAGGACAATGAGGTTTTATGTAGACCTTTTTGAGAGGAGGAAGTTAAAAATGCTCTATTTGGAATGAACAGTAATAGGGCCCTTGGTCCTGACAACATTCCAGCAGAGTTTTACCAACACTGTTGGGAGATTGTGAAGAATGATATCATGAAACTTTTTGCTGCTCTACACGAAGGAACACTTGATGTTCAAAGGTTGAATTATGGAATCATTACCCTTCTTCCTAAGATCAATGGTGCGAACAAAATCCAATAGTTTAGGCCTATATGTTTACTTAGATGTCCATATAAGCTGATCACAGAAGTATTAGACAAGAGAGCAGCCCCCTATGCTGACATTCTGTTTAGCAAACACCAAAATGCTTTTATTAAGCACAGGAACATTATGGATGGGGTGCTAACTCTGCATGAGATTTTGCATCATACACATGTTAAGAAAAAAATTGGCATCATTATCAAGCTTGATTTTGAAAAAGCATATGATAAGGTCAATTGGGACTTCTTGTTAAAATGCCTTGAAATAAGAGGGTTTGGTAAAACTTGGTGTAGCTGGATGGAGAAAATCCTCCATAATGGCACTGTGAGTGTGAAGCTAAACAACACTTCAGGGCCCTACTTCCAGAGCCACAAAGGAGTAAGGCAAGGGACCCGGTGTCCCCCTTCCTGTTCAACATCGCTGCTGAATGCTTGTGCAAGATGGTGCTGCGGGCTCAGAAAAATGGTCTGATTGATGGGCTGGCTTCGGATTTGGTGGATAAGGGAGTGGCCATTCTGCAATATGCGGATGACACAGTTCTTTGCATTGAGCATAATCCTGAAAAAGCTCTCAATTTGAAGTTGTTGCTTTATATGTTTGAGCTCATGTCTGGTTTGAAAATTAATTTCCAGAAAAGTGAAATTTTAACAATTGGAGGAGATGATAACATCTTGAAAGAGTATGTTGATATTTTTGGGTGTCAAATTGGACACTTCCCGATGAAATATCTCGGGGTCCCTGTTAGTTATTCATCCCTGAAAGGTGTGGACTGGGACAATCTTGAGGCCAAATTTGTCAAAAGATGCAAGTCTGGTCTAGGAAGCAATGCCTCCTCGGGGCAGATTGATTCTACTGAATGCTAGTATTTCCAGCATGACTTATTATTATATGTCCATGTTTCTCTTGTCTAAAACCATCATAGAGAGGCTGGATAAACACCGAAGGAGATTCTTCTAGCAAGTAACTAAAAATAGAAAACGTTACTACCTGGTGAGATGGTCCACAATTTGTAGATCCGAAGAGAAAGGGGGATTGGGGGTGAAAGACCTTCACAGGAAAAATATTTGCCTTTTGGTGAAATTGTGGTGGAAACTGGAGATGAAAAAGGGGCTTTGGCAAGATATTATCAAAGCCAAGTACTTTGGTAGGGACACAGTAGCTTCTATCAAAGGATAAATTACTGATTCCCCTTGCTGGAAGGCCATTATGAAAGTGAAGGACTTATATATGGCTGGTAGAAGAGTGGTTGTGCAATCTGGTAACATAGCTAGGCTATGGGCAGATCCAGTTTGTGACCATGTTCCTTTCGCTGTGCAATTTCCTCAACCCTTTGCAATTTGCAACTATCCTGACTATGTTGCAAATAAATGCCTGGAGTCTGACCCTGTTTCCTTCTTCCGAAGGAGACTGAATCCTGAGCTTAATGAGCAATGGCAAAAAATGGTTCTGACTATTAAAAAGCTCTGTGTTTCTACAGAGAGTGATAGTATCAAATGGGGACTGGGCCCTAAACCCTACTTCACAACCAAAGCTCTATATTCCCACCTGGAGAGAAACATCTCTGGATGCAAGTCGATGGATTTGGAAAGCTCGCATTCCTCTGAAAATCCAAATTTTTATGTGGCAGCTATCGCAAGATGCGGTGCTGACTAGAGACGTGATGACACATCGTGGGTGGAAAGGGGAACCTAAATGTTCGTTCTGTGGGGAGAGGAAATCCTCCCAGCATCTCTTCTTTACTTGTCCTGTTGCCAGGGTTACTTGGAGAGTGGTGGGGTGCATGTTTGGCACTGAGTTATGCCCTGACAACTTGTGGCAGGCATATGTTTGGTGTTATGTGTTTTTTCCTGGTGGGGATGCATTTTATACTGTTGGCATTGCGGCTGTGTGCTGGGCAATCTGGACCTGCCGCAACGGAGCTACTTTTGAGCTCATTCTTCTAAAAACTCCATTTGAATGTATCTTTTCTGCGTGTGCGCTTCTTTGTTACCGGGCAGGTTTGATGAAGCAGGAGGATGCGACGAACATGAGGGCGGGAGGAGCCCTGCTGAAGGAGAATGCGTCTCGCATGATGAGGATCCGCGCGACAGCTTACCAGGACGAGGGAGCCTGCTGAAGGGGAGAGAATCTGTTCTACTGCTTTGGTTAGATACCTCCTGCGTGAGGATGATGGGGGCATGTTGCCCTGGTTTGAGCAGTGGCTTAGTAGTGGTCAACCTTTTGGATCCTGTGAGTTTGCTGTTTGGAGTCTTGGATTTATGGTGTCGTCGGGTTTTCGCCCCATGATGAGTAATCTCGATGGCGAGTGCTCATGGTGGGTTTTCCGGCGATGCTTGAACCCGCTTTCCTCTTTCCCGTCGTATTTCTCTGGACATGGTTGTATTTTCGTTATGTCGCAGAAATGGAAAGGGGTTATGCCCGGTTAAAAAAAAAGTCCGTCCGTGTGCAGAGTTTGCTAGCCGACCTAGCTAGTCAAACACCATGCATGTCCAGTCTTACGATTGCCTTAATCTTGTAAATCACCAATCGATGTGGTGTAGTACATATTCCTCTTAGAAACGCGATCGGGACTCCTTGTGTTTAATTCTTCCTGCATCCTACAATAATCCACCTTAACATAGCTCCGTGGACTCGATCGCTTGCTTAACTAAGCTTACTGCCATCTTCTGGAAGCTTCCTCGAGTCGAGTGTACGGTACAAGGTCAATGATATGGCAAACAAATTAAGGTGTGCCACCACACCATCAGGCATGGGCAACAGCAACAAAAATGTCTGAAGACTCACTTAAATGAACACAAACTTTTTTTTTTTTATCAATCCTTCTATCCTGGATCAGGGGTGGGCATATTCATACAACCATAGTAGTTTATATACATCCGTATGTAGTTTGTAGTGCAATCTCTAAAAAGACTTATATTCAGGAACTGAGGGAGTACGTATTTGTGCTCCTTGCTTTATGATTTTCACTGTCATGTGCTTCTTCGTTACGCATGCAGCAAGCTATACAGCCTTGTGTATAATAATTCGTGCGCTCGCTGCCGCGGGCGCCTGCCAGCTCCCATCCACTCTTTCCTCCCTCCTCAGTCCGTGTGCGGAGTTTGCTAACTCAAACGCCATGTCATCCACACTTGTCTGCTCAACTTCGGCCAGCATCTCTGAGAGCTAGTTAGCGTCCTCTTGCATGTAGGATCTCTCTTCTTCAAAGGTTCACCACACAAATTGTTAGGAGCATGTTTCTGTATGATGATGATGGCTGCTCTGGAAAGTCATGCCTGTTTCTGTACCGTTGATCTGTAAATCTGTTCTTCATACTGTGATTGCAGTTCAGTTCCAGGGAAAAAGCTCAATCATTATAATGCTGCTACTTCGGACTGGACAGTTCCATTCTGCCTAGCTTGCTAACTCTGACGAACCTGGAGTTTTTCAGATATGTAGTTACTATTAACAGTTTGCTGCACACTTCAATTATTAGTCCTTTTATTCTTGGATTGTGTGTAGTACGATAAGAGCATATACTCCGGCCCTCTGTAACAGCAGGTAGATCGCAAAAAACAGCAAAGTAAAATAAATAGGAAAGGAACGCAAGAAATGAGTTTTTCAGTCAACTCCACTCTCAGCACATTTCCAGGATTAACCATTTTTCAGCCTCGCGTCAATCTTTCTTCTCCATGGAAACTTGAGATACATGCTGCACTTGACACACCCCGCCGGCTTCTGCCACTGTAACATGCATCAAGGAAATTAACTGCACGGTACAAATTAAGGACTCGTGAAAGGAATTTTCTTCAGAGATCACACACCATACACTGAAATAAAATGTGATCAACGCCCTCCAAAGCAGTCCAAAGCATTGCATATCACGCACATGCTGATCCCAGCCAATTACAAACTGTTCGCAAAAAAAAAGTTATGAACAGCCAGCTACATAGCACACAGTGTTGTGATTTCATTCATAAACTGCAAGTCTGGTACACACACGCGCACACCTAGGTCACATACATTTTACGGCCACAACTTTGCGTGTCGATGACAGAACATGTAACCAAAGAAGTAACCAGAGGAACTAAGCACCAAGCCACTAGGCATACCTTCAGGGGGATCGTATGAGATAAGCTCCCGCACAGTTCCATAGATAGATCACAGAACCAAACATAGGCGTCTGAAGCTTTGGGATTTTCGCACTTCAGGAGGAGGAACAAAGCATCGTCCAGTGGCAAGCACTAGCAGCACTTTCCCAGGGGCCATGCCATGCCTTCCTCCAAAAACCACTCAGCTGCCACCTGAGCCATGATGAACAAAATGTAGCACTCCTGTCAGATATAAGGTTTTTTTTTAGGATCTCAGATAGAAGGTTCTGTCATGTCAGGTTGATGGTTGATTTTAAATGGAACACAAAAGCACCGCACGTGATCATCAGCCAGAGCAAAAATCAACACGGAGAGCTGCTTACCTGCGGATTAATTTGAATGGATGGAATTAGCTCTACATCACAACTGCCTCGCTTCCTCGGTCGCTCACAGTGATGGCTGCTGCAGGCTCCTTTGCTTGTACTCGTTCTTCGGGTAAAGCTTTGGAACAACGAAAAATGAATGAACATTAATTTGCATTGTTGGCCATACAGAAGTGAATTAAGCTAGCTTATTGTGTCAAAGCCTGGTTTCGGGAGAGAAAAAGCTTACGTTCCTCAAACCAATGATGAAGGGCGGGGTGGTTGGGATGGACGTCCAATGCTTTGTTCAGCATATCAGCCGCTTTCTGCACTGCTGGCAAGCAGTCTTCCTCAGACCAAAGACGAACCGTGACTTTCTGTAGAGAAGGGAGGTGCCGCATGTCAACATCCAAGTCACCACCAGTGATGTGCGATGCTCGGGCACAGAAGTAAAGTGTTTCAAGCCTGGGCATAGATCCTCGTGGAAACATAGATGGCCCTATCTGGAAATTAGTGAGCATACACTCTCTCAGGCAAGGGAATGCATCATGGCCAATGATGAATCCTTCGACAGGAGTGTATTGGGCTCTGGTGGTGTTCAGATTGAGAAAACAAAGAGCGGGCAATTTCCCAATGATCTGCATGTCGACCTCCGGCCTCACCCTGTCCACTTGTATAAACAAGTAGGAGAGGACGGGAAGCAATGATAAATTAATCCATCTGGGCAGTGTCGAGGTACAACTAGCAAACCAAAGGGCATGGAGGTGTGGAGGGGGCACCCAGCCGTCCCAGTTGGCATCGAACCTTACATCCCCATAATGATCAATCACTAGAGTACGCAATTTCTGCAAATTGGCCAAGGACATCAACAAAGAATTACACACACTTTCATCGTCTCCCTTCCACCAAAGGCGAAGCACCCTCAGCTGCACCAGCTTCCCTAGCTCTTTCTCAGTCGCATTAGTACCATCCACCGTCACAACACTCAGCTCTTCTAAGGACACCAAGTTGTCTATCCCAACCGGTAATATCGTGTTCTCATAAACATATAGGCACATCAAATTTCCTAGCCGAACAACACTTGATGGCACCTCCAAAGATTTACCTGGCGTGAAGTCCAATATTTGCAAAAATTGAAGTTTTCCTATTTCAATGTGGAGAGGGTCAACAAGTGTATTTCGCAGCCCTAGGTACCTCAGGTGTAATAATTTCTCAACACACCTAAGATCAATTTGGCAGCTACTTTTCCGAAGATCACAACCTGATAAGTCCAGCACACGCAACAATTGGAGGCTTGAAAGAGACCGGATCAGATTATCATCAGTTCTAAACAGAGTAACAGACCTCAATTTTGACATACTTGTGGCATCAACCTGATGAGTGGTCAGCTCTGACATGCTATTTTGAAAAGATAACCTACGAACCATGCTATCTGAATTGTTCTTGTTTTGCTTAGAGCCATCCCATATAGTAACGAAGTTTTCTTCACTCGATAGAGAACATATGAGATCAAGTACCATATCATGTACTCGACAACCTTCCGCCCTAAATTCAACATCAGCATATATTGGCTGAATCAAGTTTCTGTTTATCAGCTCATTGTAATATGTCTCTCCCACCTCAAATAGGCTAATTTCTTGTTGTCCACCCAGGATAAAGCCTTCAGCTATCCACCTCCATATCAACAAGTCTCTATCTATCTCATAATCTTCTGGGAATATACTGAGATATAAGAAACAAGGCTTGAGATGAGATGGTAGGTCATAATAACTAAATGATAGTATTATTTGCATATCCTTCGTGGTGCGCCCTTCCGCAAGTCCACGGCCAATAGAACTAAGTACCTTGTCCCATTCATACTTTAGCTTTATGTGTTTATCATTGCTGGCCAAAAGACTTGCTATAGTAATAATGGCTAGTGGGACTCCACCACATTTCTTCAAAATTTCTCTAGACACTTGCTCTAATTCAACGGGACATTGACATCCTTGAGGGAATATTCTTTTATGGAAAAGCCTTTTGGAGTCATCATTATCAAGAGACTTCATCTCATGAATAATATCACCACTAAATGGGCAACAAGCTTCAGAGACACTGTTTATGCGGGTTGTTGTTATTACTCGGCTGCGAAGATCACTCTTAGAGAAAGCACACTTGATAATTTCCCATGCTTCTTCATCCCATATGTCATCAATCACGATTAAGTACCTATGTGATTTTTTTAGAGCTTTAGTTCACATATCAATGAAGATGTACATAAACAAGTTTTTATTTGTCTAAATTTTATTGCTAAAGAGATTATAACCTAGAAATTTGAATCAATGAGTTCATACCTCTTATCCTGAAGAAACGCTCTCAACTCATCGATGAGTTGTTGATTGTCTCTAACAGATTCATTGATGTCTGCAAACTTAATCCTATCAAGTCCGTACAACATCTTCTTGAAAATCCTTGTTATATTGGGATTCCGAGACACTGGAACAAACACTCCACAGTCAAACTGCACTATGATCTTGTCATACACAGCTTTGGTAAGTGTTGTCTTGCCCAATCCACCAAATCCAACAATAGACAGTGTCTTGAGTTGTTTGCTGGACATCTCATCTTCGCCGAGGAGCTTCTGGATCAGCTCGTCCCGTATGCCCTCGATGCCAACAAGCTCCATGACATCTTTGTACACAGCCTGCAGGCGAGGGTCAATGGTATTCCCCTCACCCTTGGTGTGCACCTCCAGCATGTACCTTTTGCGGAGATCACCCAGCTCTTGGGCGTGCCTCTGCGCATCTCGGACGGCGCCGGAGATCTGATGGAGAGCCTTGCCGTTGCTAAACAGCTTTTTGGTTCGCTTGATGAACTTTTTGACTCTGTTCTTCATATTGTTGGGGCCGACGTCGCCATGGCTGTCGTGGTGCAGGCGGACCATGTAGGTGTCCACCGCATCCTCCATGTTGTACGAGAGCTCCCGGACTTTGGCCGCCCAGATCTGGACCGGCGGTTTGAGCTGCTCCGCCGGCACGTCGCCAAGTTCATGGAGGACCGCGTGCATCATGTCCAGCTCCTCGCGGAGGGACTCGACGCGCTTCTTCACCCGCTTGTCCAGGGTGAACTCAGCCACGGCCAGCTCGCCGAGCTTGCGGAGGAGGGTGATCAGCGCTCCAGTTGCACCCTGCATGGCTTCTCTCGATCGGATCTACAGGCGGCAGGTGGAGTGTGTTGGCGTGTATGACAGTTGACGGAGCTATTTGCTCCGGTTGTGTGGTGACTGGTGACTGGTGAGGTAGTAGTACTGAGGTGAGGGAGACGAGTAGACAAGACAGACCCATATTCCATATGCTTACATTATCCGGATTAGTTAGGGGCGATGGCAACCTACACCATAATACAAGGTAACACGCTCTCTCAGCCAGAGCTCGTGCCCAAGGCAAATTAAGAGATCCGACCAACGTCAAGTTTGCAAGAAAATAAGCACTTCAATAAGAACAAATATGATAGAACAGTTTGTGAAAATATCAACGAGAGCTCCGCTTTTGGCTTTTATTAATTAAGGTTTGTGTCATGTCCAGTAAGACGAGACGGCGACGGCTCTCTAAAGATGAAATTAAGCTTCTCCCGTTCTAGCCCCCGTTCCAGTTGTGTGTCTAGCATCTTTGGAGGGCGTGTGAAGGTGTGTTTCCGCTATATCTAGGATGATTTGGTTGTTGATTGTCTTTAGTGGATCTACTCAGAGCCGGTCTTCATTCTTTACGCTTCCTGTGTTTTCTGATTGGATTCTTCCGATCTACGTGTCTCTTCATCAGTGACGGTTATTGTTCTGGTACACTGGTCTTACGGGGCTTAGCACGATGACTTCTGCACTGTCTACTACAACGAGTCTTGCCCAGCTCCCGCGATGGATGGGTGATAACACCGGTGCGCCTTGGGCTCATTTCACTGCTTGTACTCGTCGCTAGTTGGTGTACTGATCTGGACGTAATCTTTATTCTTTCTGGTATTCACTATACTACCATAATTAAAGATGTATAGATAAAAAAATTCCCGTAAAAAATCAACGATGTGAAAAAAAGGTCCAGAACGAGCTGATATTACATTTTCAAAACTTTGTTTCGTATGCCTGAAATGGAATAAGGCGGAGCAGCAGGAACTCTAGCCAACGGGAGCTGGAAAGGTTCTGCAAGACCATAGCTGTTCAAGTAAACAAAAACTAATAAAATTCTGTCGTTTTGAGGCTTACGCGGCTCCCTGTCGGTTGGGCCAACCGATCAAGCTTTGGTTTCTAATTATTTCATTATCCCTTGCTAACCACCCTCAAATTGCTGTCTCTAGCTGTGGCCTCATACATGTGGATTTGATGGTTGTCTCATTCACCCACTCGTTAGGACTTAAGCGTCAGGATGGCCGGCCTTACGAGATTTATATTGCATTCGAGAAGCAAACATGTCAAGTTGCGTTATAGCACGATCAAATGGCCGGCCAAAAAAGGAGAAGAAAAATGGTTCAAGATGCAAATGACCACCAATCGTTTGTCCTTACGATTGAAGTGGAGGACTACGAAAGAATCCATCCACAAAAGACATACAGACAGACAAATAGCTCTACATAGTTTTCTTCATCCCCACCCACTTGCTAAAACACACACGATCAAGCAGCTTCTAATTAACCTCATTCCCCAACCACTCTCACAAGCGCCGCAGTTGCACCCTGCATGGCTCCGGTTCTGTGGTTCGGATCTACAGTGTAGTGTGTAGGCGTCTACGATAGAGTTGTTTGCTCCGGTTCTGTGGTGACTGGTGAGGTAGTACTACTGAGGCGAGGGAGACAGGTAGACAAGACAGACCCATGTTCCATCTGGCTACATTAATTATCTGGATTAGTTAGGGGCGATGGCAACCTACACCATAATACAAAGTAACACGCTCTCTCAGCCAAAGAGCGTGGACAAGGCAAATTAAGCACATATACAACGGTTGATAAGACAGTTATATCTTAAATCTTACATGTAATTAAGAGATCATAAAAAAGTATGTTTAGAATGGGTTATATCTTATCTTATTTTTAATAACTAGCTATTATTAAAAACATGATGAGACATATTGTGTTAAGAGATTTCTTATAATTTCTCTCTCTTTCACCTCAGTATTTATCCTACGTGACACTTCTAAGGTAACATCATTGTACATACCCTAAGATATCCGACCAACGTCAAGTTTGCAAGAAAATACGCACTTCAAGCCCCTAAAAGAAGCACTTCAAGAAGAAGAAATAAGATGGAACAGTATGTGAAAATATCAACGAGGGCTCCATTTTTAACTGTTACTTTTGGTTTTGCTCCGGTTTGTGTCTTGTTCAATAGTCGAGATGATGCCGGCTCTCTGAAGATGAAATAAGGTTCTTCCTGCCTAGCCCCCGTCCGGTGGTGCATCTAGCATCATCGATGAGCGTACGGAGAGTCTCTGGCATATCTTGCAGGATTCGATTGTTGAATGTCTTGGATGAATCCACTCGGATCTGGTCTTTGTTCGTCTACGTTAGTGTGTTTTCTGATTGTATCATTTCGATCTACGTGTCTCCTCATCTGTGGAGGTTGTTGTTCTGATGCGCTGGTCCTATGTGACCTTCACATGATGACTTTCTCACTGTCTACTACTTAAGTCTTGTCCCGCTCCGACGAGGTACGGGCGATAACGCCGGTGTGCCTTCACCTCGCTTCTGTGCTTACAGTTATCGCTAAATGGTCTACGGATCTGGATGTAATTTTATTATTCCTGGTGTACGTTGTACAACCATGATTGAAGATGAATAGATAGAATTTTTTTTCCTGTAAAAATAAAAAATCAACGAGGTAGAAAATGTCCGGAATGAGCTGGTATTTGCACAAACTGATACAACATTCTACTTCTTAAATTTTCAAAACTTTGTTTCGTAAGCCTGAAATGGAGTAAGGCGGAGCAGGAACTGTGGACAGTGGGAGCTGGAAAGGTTCCAGAAGACCATAACTGTTCAAGATATAAACGAAAACTATCTAAAATTCTGTCGTTTTCAGGCGTACGTGGCTCCCCGAGGGTTGGGCCAATCGACCAAACTTTGGTTTCTAATTATGAGGTTCATTTCTCCTTGCTGACGACCCTCACATTGCTGTCTCTAGCTCTGGCCTCATGCATGTAAATTTGATGGTTATCCCATTCACCCACTCTTTAGAACGTAAGCGTCAAGATGGCCGGCCTTACGAGTATTTATATTGCATGCAAGAACCAAATATGTCAAGTTGCATTACAGAAGGATCAAATGGACGGCCAAAAAAGGAGAAGAAAAATGGTTAAAGATGCAAATGACAACCAATCCTTTGTCCTTGTCGATTGAAGTGGAGGACTAAAAAACTGTCCATCCACAAAAGACACGCAGACAGACAAATAGCTCTACACAGTTTTCTTCATCCCCACCCACTTGCTAAATCTCATTCCTCAACCACTGTCACCAGCTCCGGCCTCATGCATGTGAATTCCATCGTTGCTTCGTCGTCCAATACTACATCTACTACTTTTTTTTTCATAAAGAAAGCATCTCTTCTCAGAAACTCTTTATGAGCTTGAGCGCAATGATGAACACGCCTTATTATATTAGCAAGTTACAATCAGCACGATCAAATGCATCTACCTAACTAGTATGCCAAATAAGAAAGAAGATGCTATATTAGCCTCTACCTCGCCAGTTACATATGCCTAGCTCAAAGCAACGGTAGGATCTGTCTTGTCTTGTTACGAATGTCGCCACCAATGTACGTCCATCACATGTATATAGCCTATAACACTAATAGAAAACAGGGCTAGCGATTCGAGGCAATAGTCCTGGTCGCATTACGAACCACGACTAATGTGAGCATTAGTCCTGGTTCGAGCGGTTAGGATGCCAGACGGGGCTCGACAGGCATCAGTCCCGATTCGAATGTGACCATTAGTCCCAGTTGCAAATACCAACCGGGGTTGAAGGGTTTGCGGCAGGCGCAATACCCTTTAGTGCCGGTTGGTGTCTCCAACCGAGACTAAAGTCTCTCTCTAGTCTCGGTTTTAGGCACCAACCGGGACTAAAAATTTGCCTATATATATCCTTGCCCCTGCGCACCCTCTCCTACATTTTTTCCTCATAGAAGGTGGGAGGTGTGTGCTAGTTTGTTTTCCCTTCCTATGCACAAGAGGTGCTCGATGAAATGCCTGAATGCGATGATACTACAACGGGGAAGCTGAAGATCAAGAGGGGTTATGATGGAAGACAATGAAGAAGAAGAGGATGATGAAAACTATCCTATGTTACCTGAATACGGTGATACTGCAACGGAGGAAGCTGAAGATCAAGAGGCACCAGATGTGCCCACTGATGATCTTAGCCGGGTCATTGCTGATGCACAGAGAGAATGCTAATGTGAAAAGTAGAAGTTGAAGTTGCAGCGCATGTTAGAGGATCACAAAAAAAATATTGTACCCAAATTGCGAAGATGGCAACACAAAGCTCGGTAACACATTGAAATTGCTACAATGGAAGGAAGAGAATGGTGTATCTGACCAGGGATTTGAAAAGTTATTAAAAATGATGAAGAATAAGCTTCCAAAGGATAACGAATTGCCTGACAGTACCTACGAAGCAAAGAAGGTTCTCTGCCCTCTCGGATTTGAGGTGCAGAAGATACATGCATGCCCTAATGACTGCATCCTCTACCGCGGTGAGGAGTATGAGAATATGATGAGATGACCCCGGTGAGCCGTGCATTGCAGTATAAGATCATACGAGATGACCCTGGTGACATTGAGGGAGAGCGCCCCAGGAAGAGGGTTCCTGCCAAGGTGATGTGGTATGCTCCTATAATACCACGTTGAAATATCTGTTCAGAAACAAAGAGCATGTCAAATTGTTGCGATGGCACAAAGAAGACCATAAGAAAGACAGGATGTTGAGAGTACCCGCCGATGGGTCGCAGTGAAAAAAAATCAAGAGAAAGTGGCCGAAGTTTGCAGATGACGTAAGGAGCTTATGGTTTGGTATAAGTACAGATGGCATGAATCCTTTCGGGGAGTAGAGCTGCAGGCATAGCACCTGGCCTGCGAATCTATGTATCTGTAACCTTCCTCCTTGGTTGTGCATGAAGCGAATGTTCATTATGATGCCACTGCTCATCCAAGGACC